AGCCGCGGGGATGGGGCTGCAGGTCTGGGCCCTGCTCCTGCTCCTCAGCCCAGGTGAGGGAGGCAGTGAGTCTGGTGCAGATGCCAGAGTGGGTAGATATTTGGGGTCATGCTTGCAAGGCAGAGGCCAAGCAGGGAAGGGGGGAGCCAGGAATCAGAGCAGGGCTGTGAGGGAAAATGGCCAGAACAGGAGGAGGAGCAGGACTGAGGCACAATGCAGGGAACAGGGGCTTGAGGGAAGGGGGAATATGGGGTCTTGGGGGCAGCAGGGAGCACTGGGCAATATATCAAGGGGTGGGGGATTTGTGAAGCTAGAGCAGGGCCCAGAGAGGGAAGATTCAGGATCTGCTGAGAGCAGGTCAGGGCCCAGAACCAGGCAGGAGGCAGAAAGGGGCGGTGGGCCTGAGGGTTCATGGAGACAAACTGGGAAGGGGGGCAAAGGGACTCTCTTGGGGGCAGGAGGAAAGGGAGCATGGATGACCAAGGGGAGAAGGGAGGGGTTAGAGCCAGGGCGAGGGGCTGGGAAGTGTTTGGATCCTGGAGCAGGGTGGCCCTGAGCACCAGCTGGAAAGGGGCGAGTGCTGTAGCAGGGAGGGGGCTGGGTGGGAAGTGGCTGATGTGACTTCTCTTGAGGCTGGGGTGTGTGAGGAACCGCTAAGGCTTCCTCCTGTGAGTTGCGGGGTCGGGCTGGTGCTGGGACTTTGCTCCTGCCCCAGATTAATAGGGAGGAGGAAGTGGTGTCTCTCAGGGGAGTGGTGAAGACACCGCGGTGTCACATGGGGAAGGATAGAGGGGCCAATTCATTGAGGCTGGAGGAGGGATGGGGGAGGGGGCCTTCCAGGTGGGATTCAAATGGAGGCTCTGCAGGGATTGGGGAATCAGTCTCACTGACTTTTTTGGGAGGAAGAGAAGGATTTTTGTGAGGGTAGGGGCAGAACAGGGGGGGGAGCAAGGGAGAGGTGTGGAGTAGGAAGTTTGGTGTCATGGCTGTGGTCAAGAGGTAGTGTGGGGGTAGGGCAGGGCCCACAGAAGGCTCGATTGGTGCTTGAACAGGGAAGGTGGTGTGGGCCCCTCAGAGGGTTAGTGTTCTGGTGGGGAGCGAAGGTGTGGTGGTTGTGAGGGAAATAGGCATGCTGAGGATGTTTGGGAGCAGTCCAAGGGGTTCAGGGTAGCTGAGCATGGAGTGGGGCTCCCTAAAGGAAGTTTTAAGGAGCTGTTGTGAGTGGGGAGCAGTGCCAGCTGAGGGCAGTTTGTAGGGGATTGAATCAGGGGCACAGAGTGAGACTTGACTAGGTGAATTTGGGAGGAAAGAATAGGGAGGGGATGTGGGGTTTGCTGAAGGCTTTATTTGGGGTATGGATCAATGAGGCAGAGTGAGTTCCTCTGAGGGGTGGTTTGGGATACACAGGAAGGAGTACAGTTTGCTGAAAGGGGATGTTGCGGGGATTGCAGGGAGACATGGAGCAGGACCTGCCAATGAGGCTTTGAGAGGCACTGAGGAGTGTGGAATAGATCCTGCTCAGGGGCCCAGGTGTACTGGCACAGGGAGCGGGGTAGTGGGGCCTGCCAAGATTAAAACAAAAGTGTTCACGGATAGGGTCTGTGTAGGGCAGGCACGTGGAGTGAGAGTCCCCGGGAGAGGCAAATTTTTAGACCAGTGGAGCAGGGTCTGCAGACTAGGCAGAACCTGGGGTGGCAGGGTTGGCGAAAAGAGAAGAAAGAGAAAAAGAGAGACTTGCTTAACTGGGGACAGATTAGGTAGTGGACCTTATTAAGGAGAGCTTTGATGTGGGAGCAGTTTGGGCAGTGGAGCAGGGACCTGAGTCAGCTGATGAAAGCTTGGGCAGATGGCGAAGGGAGGAGAGGAGTGCAGTCTGGTGAAGATGATGTGGGAGTGGTGCAGCAGGAAAGGGTTTGTGACTGTGAAAAAGGGAGTAGCCCTAGAAGGGATATTTATGAGTAATGAAACAGGAAGAAGGAAACGGGTCTTGCCCAGTAGAGTTTCGGAGTGCCTGACAAAAGAGAGGTCTACTTGATGGGGGTCTAGTTGGGAGTGCAGAATATGGATAGGGGGAATATGGCTGAATAAGAAGGTAGTTTGACTCTGAGTAAGGGGGCAAACGTTCTTCCGAGGAGAGGTTTGCAGTGGATGGAGTGTGGCATACTGAGCGTGATTTGCAATCGTAGGTGATGAAGTGGTGTCCACTGAGATTACAGGGGCAGAGAATAGGGCTCATTGAAGAGTACAGTGCAGCAGTGGGGGCTATGGGGCTTGCCATGGTTGAGAGTTGTGAGATGCAGAGGAGGGATAGAGGAGCAGGGCTTAATGTGGGGTGTATTAGAAGAATGAAGCTGGATGTGATGGGGTAAGATGGACCAGGGAGGGTGTAGTCTGGTAGAGGGGGTAAGTGTTTGCTTGGAAGAGAGAACCTATTGATGGGGGAATACAGTGAGGTTGGTCGGAAAATCAGGAGGATGGAAGGGGCCTGATGGAGAAATTGGCTTGGGTTTGGGTGGGAAAGAGAACCAAAGGAGTAGTAATGCTACTGTGTTCTCTCTGTGTCTAAGCTTATTAAATGATTTACAAATATTATTGAATTGAGACGCAGACTTCATCACTATCCCTAGAATTGTTCCTCCTTCGCACATTGTACAGAGTGACTTCTGTATAAAATGATTTGCAGTGTCAGAATCCAGAAGCACATATCCAAATAACTGTAAACTTATATTCTTTTTAACTTATTTGAAACTATTTCTCTTTCTAGGCTTTTCTGAGACTTTAAAATTATCTTATTCTGAAGTAATAGTTCCAAGAAAGCTGGAACCAAGAGATGGAATAGACACCAAGGTAGCACTGCTTTCTAAGAAAATTGGAATTGCTATGTTGACTCAGACTAATGATCCCTGAATCCAGTCTTTGGTAACTGCCAGTATCAGATGCTTCAGCGGGAGGTGTAACCACCTCTATAATAAATTATGTAGGGCAGAAAGTTTCTTCCTTATCCTGAGCAATTAGTGGTTTGGTTCTCCTCTGAAGCACAAGGGTTGATAATCCTTAATATAGTCTCTGCTTACCTGTGTAACTGCACTTGACATTTTTATGAGTGGAACTCAGTGTGCGTTAATAACATTTATAATGTTATGGAAGTAAAACATATAGTATATTATTCATTGCAAGGAACTAAGGAATTCAGAAGGTACTTATATGGCTCTCAGTAACAAGGGATATAAGCACTACACAATGTTTAAAATGTTTATCCTCACAACACTCCCGTAAAGTAGGGAAGTACCTCTGTGAGTTGGCAACCCCCAATTTTAAAGAATAGTCATGCCATCATAAGGCTATTCTTGTCTGTAACTTCTGGTAGGGGGAATAGCCCATTTGTCTGGGCTAGTATAAAACCCCTGAGAAATAGTTCTGGCATGCTGATTTTATTCATAATCTGTCTTGAATTCCTCCTAGAGTACTAGGATTGGAAGTTCATGCTGTACATTCTTTGAAGGGGAATTTTGCTTGGTATGTGAGGTATAGAATTTGACCTATGTTGTCATAGTTTAGGGATTCTTAATATATCTTTTCCTACTGGAAATATTCTACAAGACTTTTCTGAGCAACAAATGTTATAATAAGAATCTAGAAGAATGCAAGTTTTATGACCCAAATGTTAACCAAGTGAGGGAAGTACTGAGTGAAACATTCTCCCTGTAACCCTGTAAATTAAAACAGACAAAAAAACAAAAATGAACTGAGCACTGTAAACTGAATTTCAACCTTCTGTGTCCATGTTTGACTCCTGGGGAACAACTCCATCCTAATTTTCGAACTGGAATTGTAGCTTTGTGCTGTGGCTAAATGCCACAATATAGCCCTTATGATAAAACTGCAACCCATAGTCTGTGACTAAGACAGTGACTTAGGGCCAGAGATTTGAAAGTATTTGGGTGCCTAAATATTCAGATGGGAACCTAAATACCTTTCAAAAGACTTTGGGCTACGGGCCAGATTTTTAAATGCACAAAATCTAAAGAATGCCTGTATCATGGAATACCATAAGGAAGTATGGTGTTTTCTTTATGAAAATCAGCTTTCCCTGACAGCCAGTCCTGAGAATGGACTGGCATGTGTGGGATTCATGCTCTGCACTTCATATACTAACAATGAGGTTGAGACACTTTTTTTGTGGAGCACGCATGGTATGCAAGAATAAATCACAATAGCCACTGAAAAGGTGTTATCCTACAGAGCAATGTGCAGTTCTGAGCAGCCGTAAAGATGAGGCTGCTGCCAAATTAAGACAGTAAGAGCATCCTACTCTATTCAATTTGATTCTATCCATTATTCCAAAATCGTTATTCAGCCTCAATTTGAGACTGCATAGTAGTGCTGTGGCAATGGTGTTTAGTGTCAACTGTTAGGCTCTGTCTTCGCTAGGGGCATTTTCTAAATGTTTCCCATTTTTGCTGGCACTGATTGAGCTACACCAATTTTAGCAATGCAGGGGATCCTCATGTAAACAGGATCCTCATACTGCTAATGTATCAGAGGGGTAGCCGTGTTAGTCTGGATCTGCAAAAAGCAACAGAGAGTCCTGTGGCACCTTTAAGACTAACAGATGTATTGGAGCATAAGCTTTCATGGGTGAATGCCTGCATCCGACGAAGTGGGCATTCACCCATGAAAGCTTATGCTCCAATACATCTGTTAGTCCTAAAGGTGCCACAGGACTCTATACTGCTAATGGTGATCTAGCTGGACCAGTATTGGCAACTTTGGGAAATATTTAGCAAACTTCGTTGCTGTAGCGAGGCCTTACATGAAAGGAGAAGAAAATCTTCTCTGAACACAATCTGAGGAAATGTATGAATACAATTTTTATAAAATGGAGTACAGTATAGGGATTGATTAGTCAGAGTTTTAGAATACTATTGAATTCTACTTTTTTATTTGAATGTTCTAGGAGAAGGTGTCTTATCTAATTAAAGTAGAAGGAAATCTCCATATTGTTCACCTACTACAGAAGAAGTAAGTGACTATTTTCTTCCAAACTTTTCATCTGCTCTTTTTTTAGAGAAATAGGTGTACATGGGGCTTTACAATCAAGTATGAAGACAAAAGCTGCTGGCCCCAGAAGCTGTCAATCTAGATATGGAGAAATAACAGAAGTGGTAAAAAAGTAGAAGATGGGATGCAAGGAAAACTGGTTTTATAGGGGCCATTAGTTAGACCAGTAATAATTAGGAAGGGACAAGCATCTCCATACTTTAAAATTAAAGCTACTTTTCATTATAAAGTTGATTTTTACATGCTTTCTAACTTTGCCAAGAGCAAACCAATTCACATGAAACTCTACACCCATGTAGCCTTATGCCATGGAAGGATATTTCAGAAAGGCTTGAGATACACTAGACAATATATATTAACTAAATGAGAACTCAGAACAGTAGTCTCTTCTTGGAGATGGGCTCTGCATATCAGCACCAATGAGATTTGTGCCTCCCTGTGCTGCTGACCTTTGGCAATCTTCTTGAAAAGAGGTGTCCGTGGAGACCACACAATAACTACCTCCCAGAGCTATCATTCAGAACTAACATTAGTAAATGTCATACAGTCCCATATTGCATTGGCTTCTTTTTGGTATGTAACTGCAGGTATTGGAGATCCACATTCTGTTAATTTGTATCTGAAATCTCCTGTCGGCTGATTTAAGTTACTACAGTTTTAGAAAATGTAGATGCTTTTAGATAGCTCTTGCACTGTTTCTCAGTTTAAATTCATAGACCAACTGAGACTTCAGTTCCTGGCTCATTTCTGATGAGTAGAGCCCTGCACAGATACAAAATTTACATCCGAGGATGCAGTTATCCGCAGATATAAAGAATCAGAGGGGTAGCCGTGTTAGTCTGGATCTGTAAAAAGCAACAGAGGGTCCTGTGGCACCTTTAAGACTAACAGATGTATTGGAGCATAAGCTTTCGTGGGTGAACGCCCACTTCGTCAGACGCATGTAATGGAAATTTCCAGAGGCAGGTATAAATATGCAGGCAAGAATCAGTATGGAGATAACGAGGTTAGTTCAATCAGGGAAGGTGAGGTCCTCTGCTAGAAGTTGAGGTGTGAACACCAAGGGAGGAGAAACTGCTTCTGTAATTGGATAGCCATTCACAGTCTTTGAAGCTCAGCAGTTTCTCTTTGGAGTCGGGTCCTGAAGTTTTTTTGCTGTAAGATGGCTACCTTTACATCTGCTATTGTGTGGCCAGGGAGGTTGAAGTGTTCTCCTACAGGTTTTTGTATATTGCCATTCCTGATACCTGACTTGTGCCCATTTATCCTCTTACATAGTGATTGTCCAGTTTGGCCAATGTACATAGCAGAGGGGCATTGCTGGCACATGATGGCATATATAACATTGGTGGACATGCAGGTGAATGAACCGGTGATGATGTAGCTGATCTGGTTAGGTTCTGTGATGATGTTTGCTGGTGTAGATATGTGGGCAGAGTTGGCATCAAGGTTTGTTGCATGGATTGGTTCCTGAGTTAGAGTTATTATGGTGTGGTGTGTGGCTGCTGGTGAGAATATGCTTAAGGTTGGCGGGTTGTCTGTGGGCGAGGACTGGCCTGCCTCCCAAGGCCTGTGAAAGCGAGGGATCATTGTCCAGGATGGGTTGTAGATCACTGATGATGCGTTGGAGAGGTTTAAGCTGAGGATTGTAGGTGATGGCCAGTGGAGTTCTGTTGGTTTCTTTCTTGGACTTGTCCTGTAGCAGGAGGCTTCTGGGTACATGTCTGGCTCTGTTGATTTGTTTCCTTATTTCCTTGTGTGGGTATCGTAGTTTTGAGAATGGTTGGTGAAGATCTTGTAGGTGTTGGTCTGTGTCTGAGGGGTTGGAGCAGATGCGGTTGTACCTCAGCGCTTGACTGTAGATGATGGATTCTGTGGTGTGTCCGGGGTGGAAGCTGGAGGCATGAAGGTAGGCGTAGCGGTCGGTGGGTTTTCGGTATAGGGTGATGTTAACGTGACCATCGCTTATTTGTACTGTGGTGTCTAGGAAGTGGACCTCCTGTGTAGATTGGTCCAGGCTGAGGTTGATGGTGGGGTGGAAGCTGTTGAAATCTAAATATAAAGAAGATATCCATGGAGCTGCAGGACTCTAGCGACAGTGAGTGAGACCAGCAGGGCCATGGCCAGTGACCGGCGAAAGCAGCAGCATATCAGGCCACTGTTCCCAGGAGCCAGTTCCCAAATTGGGCAGTTTCATCAGCATGGCTGTGCTGCCCCCAGCCCTGCCCAGTGGGGTGGGCACCAGGCTCACTGGCAGTTGTCCCTGGTCACGCTAGTGCATGCAAACTGCTCACACAGTCCCTGACAGGAATCGCACATGACTGCGTGGATCGGACTCCTGTCTGGGAGCGTGCGAGCTGCTTCACACACTAATGTGACTAGGGACAGCTGCCAGTGAGCCTGGTGACCACCCCACTGGGCAAAACTGGGGATGACACAGCAGCACTGGAGGAGCTGGGTGCTGGCTCTGGCAAATGGCAGCCTGACACGCTTCTTTCGCCGCTGCAGTTCCTGGCCCAATCGCTGGCCATGGCCCTGATGGTCTTGCTTGTTGTCACTAGAGCCCTGCAGCTCCACAGATATCTGCTTTATATCCATGGATATCTGCATCACAGATATAAATTTTTTATCCGCGCAGGGCTACTGATGAGACCCTAAAGATCCAACAGGAGAGACCGGGTTTAAAGAACATGTCATATCATTTCATGCACCTCTGTCTTGCCAGAGTTGGATCTATGTACTTGCTGCCTGATATGCATCAGGGATGTTCATTCTATGGTGTGTTGTTCTTTTTGCTGGGCATTTACACCCTGGGCACAAAAGAACAGATACACTCAGCTCCAAGCTTGTCTAATTACAGACCTTAGGATATAGCTCTTCAGGTTCCTCCTCTTATCAGTTCCCTTTCCTGTGCAAGGAAAGTGTAGGGCATCATCTGCTTTGAAACCCCCTGTTGTATTAGTTTTGATGGAATATATGGGCCCAAAAGTCAAAAAGTCACCATGATCCAGTCACTGTGCAGTGTTAAAGAAGGTTTTGTGTTTGGTATACTGAAACCTCAGCCTGCTTAGTGCCGTGGCACAAAGTCCATTAAAAAGCCATTTAACATTTTTAATAAAGATACAGCAAAAGAAGGAAAAACAGATAAAGCATTTGAAATGTAAAGTATTAAGAAAGGCTTAATATCTCTCTGAAGCCCTGTCTATATTACGGGTTACTTTAACTAATTCCTGAACCCCAAGGTGAAGTTTTACATCTACTTTGATCTATGAGTTCAGCCCCCAAGATCAACTACAGTAGAGAGGTAATCAATAGAAGGGGGAACCCATGGTGCACAACAGACTACATAAAATGCTCTTTATGTAATACAGTGCACTCCTTTTATAAGAATCACATCCGTCCCGGATTATTTGATTCCTGTAAGTACTTGATTCTTACAAGTATTGTCAGATCACATTGGAGCGGCGAACAGCGGAGGCTAACAGAGGGAGTTTTCCGAGCGGATGTACGCTAAGTGCTGCATTAGGGGGGCTGTGTTGGTGAGTATCTGAGTGTCTGTTGCGGGGACAGTTTGTCAGTTTGACCGTGTGCTTGATTGTTTGTTTGAAAAGTGTGAATTGGGAGTGCTTTGTTCCAGGTGGGCCTTGAGTGGGCCTGACTGTTATAAAAAAGGCAGTCAGCAGCGAACAGGCTGAGCGGCAAACAGCGGAGGCTAACAGAGGGAGTTTGCCTGGGATCTGTCCGAGAGGAGGTACGCTAAGTGCTGCAGATGTTTGACTGTGTGTGTGTGTTCTTTTTGCATGCTGCATTGACTCTGGACAAATAGCCCATACAGCAGGCTCCAATCAAACTGCCCAATAAGACTACAAGACTTGGTTTAGTAGTGAAGGCGCCCGGCCAAGTTTATTGTTGACAAAGTACGGTAATAGCACCTGGCAGACTCTGAGGATACTAAGACATGTATGTCCATGACAATGGATGCAGCTCAGCCAGTGGTGGGACTTTCCACTGCCCCCTAGGTTGGACGAAGGGTTAAAGCGAGGTATTCCAACATTTATAGACTGAGACAAACAATCTGGGATAAACAGCTTATGTATCATTTTACGTGTTTCATGAGACGTATTTGTTACCTCCCCTTGTATTTTCCCCCTGATGTTTCAGACAAAATATGACTATTCATCACTTTTGTCAAACCATTTTATTGTGTGCCAGGTTAGGGTGTTCTTGTGCTGGCCTGCTGGAATGTGTTTACATATTCAATGTGTTTTACCAATGCTAGCAATACTGGTGCCGAGTTCATGTACCAGACACTGGCTTGCAGGCAAGCATCTGCTTTTGACAGGGCCTGACTCGTGCTCATAGCATAACTTTTGCTGACTTTGGTTCAGGCCTCAGGCCTTGCACCAGGCCCATGCTTCAGGCTCCTTCTTTCTACTACATTTCCCCACATGTTGTCTTTTTATGTGGAGGATGTTTACCCATAATGCATGGACTGAAGATGAGCCAGTGGGCTAAACACTGTTATTGGGTCACCTTACTTTACCATCCACACATTCATACCCTATCTGTCCCTTGGTCTGCCATGTCTTTCCCTTGGTCTATCCCTTAGTTTAAGTATATGTTAGTATAGGAATGATTTTGTTGCAGTGGTTTTGATCCTTGTATGGTTTGATTCTTACATCAGTGATTCTTTTAAATGAGATGCACTGTAGTTACTTTTATTGACCAACGAATAACAATCTACTCATTTCAGTCTGGTAAAGGAGAGAGACAACAATATGGAATGTCTAGCATTTCTATTACTCATACCACCCTTTGCAAAGAAACCCAAAATGTCAGTCAACATTTTTCCTTATTTGGACTTCCACACAGCATTACTTTTCAGTACCCCGTTTTTCATAGGGTAACTCATTAGTGCCCCTTGTACTCATTAGCATGTATGTGACCCTATCACCATAGTAATATGTGGTTACCGTAAGAAAGTCTCTAATATTTCATCCTGGCTACCAATGGTCATCTTGTGGCATCTACTGTTCTTTCATAGACATTATTATCCAAACTCAGTAATTATTTTCAAAACATCAGCATATCATGAACATAGACACAAGCTCAGCAGGTTTATTATTAAGTTACTTGTGCTAATTTATCCTAAGGCCTATTTTTTTACTTTTATATCCTAAATATACCTGATAATGTTTAACTCTGGCTGCATTTCATTCCTTTTAGCTGTAAAGAGCCTTTAGAAGGTGGTGAAAAAATGTGTTTGACAATTTCGTAAATGGTAATGCTTTTTTTTTTTTTATATAAAACATAGTTGAGATGTGCTGGAGCTGTTATTGCTTTTTCTATTGTTGTTTGATCCCATTTACTAGAAAAAAAGACTCAAACACAAAAGGAGAAATAAAAAATCAGCAAAGATGAAAAATGAAGTTTCTGTCTCCATTGTTGACTCTCATTTGCAAACTTTCTACTGGAAAAACTCAGACATAGCACAGGGTCTGAGGAGCCACCTCGAGACCTAGCAAACTTGTAACAGCATTGGGCTGTTTAAGGGTACAGATGCCCCCCGATTTACGCAATCATTCTGTTCTGGAAAGCCTTGCGTAACTCGAATTTTGTGTAAGTCGGAAACGTATACCCGTACGTTATGCAAAAATTTCCACAATTCAAAAATCCTATTTCTGGTTTATGGGACTTTTTCCGTAAGTGCAAATTTGTGTAAGTCGGGTCTTGCGTAACCCAGGGAGCGTCTGTATTGTGTTTAGCTGCCCTTGTGATCACAGGCTTGCAACAGTGTTGCAGAATATAGTTTTTGCCTGCTAAGCCATACTCTTATTAAAGGAAGGAAAAAGGGGATGTATAAGAAAAAAAATAATTTGGGGAAGTTAAAGGACACTTACTTATGGGAGAGCGGGGGAAGAGACAAAGTCTCACTACCCAGATGGGGTTTGGGATTTAGTTAGAGCCAGTGGAGGTGGCAATGTCATCTGGATCCCTCTTTCTGGCCCATGCTAGTCAGGACATCTCTTGGGATTAAAAGAAAGAAGGCCTGGTGTCTCAAGGGATAGTAGGAGTGGCAGCCATGATGGTGAATTTCACTCCTTCCCCTTTTTCTCAACTTTAAGTCAGCCATTGTCACAATACCTCCCCCCCCCAAAGTTTCTTCTTTTATAAACCTGAAAAAGAAGGATGGGTGGAATAGCCCATCTCCTCATTATTTTGTCCACCAATTAGACCTAATTTCTGACACACGGATTTTGATTTATTAATTTCTGGTTCCACACTTTTTTTGTTTACCAAGGAATCTTAACACAGTCTTTGAGTTATATCTGTGGGCATTCTTGTTTAGACCAGAGGTTCTCAAAGGAACTGTACATTAATATGTGTCCTACGATGCAGTGTACATGTTTAATTGCAAGCATGGATCACAATTGCAGTTTTGCTTTTGCTCTTATTACAATGGATTGTGGAATCATTCATGTAACAGGAAAAAAAAAAAAACTCAAGAAAAAAACAAAGAAAGAAAAAAAGAAAAAAAAAAAACATCATGAAATATAACGGTATATATATTTGTGTGGTGGGGGGGAGGTGGCGTATACTACTACAAACACAAAGAAGAGGGAGCACAATCAAATATGTTTGAGAACCACTGGTTTAGACTAATTCAGTCTTTCTGTGTTCCTTTTTTGATCAACATTTATTGCTATTGGTTATTGTGATACTTTATAATCTTTTCCTCATTTTTTGCAGTTGACCTCATAATTGGGGTAAATTTGTAGGCCCAATTATCACAACACCTTTGCAGGGGAGAAACAGAAGCCTTTGGTATATTTGTCTAGCTCCAAATTGGTGGATCACCGTGTGTCCAGCTTTGGCGCCACATTGGAACAGAAGAGGCTGGATTTGTCTTTTGCATCTGTCAGTGCCAAGGGCTTCAAATTTGCCTGCTGTAAGGCAGGAGCTGCCAAGTGAAGATGTGATGGTCCTGTAGTGCTGGAGATGTTGTCAGCACTAGAAAGGCTTCAAATAAACATGCTCCTTACAGTGCCACATTTCTCTCAGATCCAGCATTTGTGGACAAATTAGTACCCTGACACACCTCTCTATGTTGCCATTTTTTAAATGTCTACAATAATACAGAACTGTCGAATGAGGTATTCATGGGTTTAATTTGGTAATGTGTGAGTGATGCCTAGTAGATAAGGCACTGAATTTGGATTCTATTCCTCTCTACCACTGGTCTATTGGGCAACCTTGGATACGTCACTTCATCATCTTGGGCATTAGTTTCCCCATGTCTAAAATAGACATAATGGTATCCCTGCATCAGATAAACTTGAAAACTTGAATTGAGTGTTTCTTCACAACCAGGAGAACTAGGACTATTTTTGTAATTAATGCACAGATTCTGGAGCACAGCTTTGCGGCAAGAAGCAAATTCTGCAGCAAATTCACTTCTGCAGAATGCATCGGGTCTTGACTGTAGATTCACAGAAGACCATTTAGGTGGCTAAATAAAGGTATTTAGCCACTGAAATCCCACTGGCTTCAGTGAGAGCTAGAAACCTAAATACCTTTGAGGAGCTGGGCCTTAGTCCATATGTAATCAACAGTTCACATGTATCAAGACTGCAAGCAGCAACTGTTGTAATTTTTGGATCTGGTTTTAAGAATAAGCTATGAATAGACAATTCACCAAAAGTACCTTTATTTCCCAAAGGCTGATCAGCTTCTTACCAAAGGAAGTACATCCTGTATGCTGTACTGAACGTCACTATGATAATGCTTCCCTAAGATTATAAGCAATGGCCTGTTACATATAGTAGAGCTACAAGGAGGACTCACCACATCATCCAGGTGGTCTTTGCTGTCCAATAGGCCTGCTGAGCTGAAGCTTGATGCTCAAATCCCCCTTTTTGTATTCTATGCCAAAGTGCCAGTTGCACATGTTTGTGTCAGCTGATGTTTTCCTTGTCTCAGACACATCCTCATGCAACAGTTGCAGGTTTCCTCTCAATGCAGTTTTAACTAGCTTGAACTATTTTGCGGTTTTAGCTGACAGAAAAATAACCCCTTTCATTCTTATAAAAACAACATTAATTCGCCTAACAACAGCAGAGTTAATTATAACCAATTTTACATAACGACTGCCTACCATATATTTATATCAAGTGCCATCTTGCATTATCTATATTGCTTCAGCAGGATCCTCTGCTTTTGAATTTCTAATTTTTAAAAATCTTTTATTTTCAGAATGTTCATAGCCCCAAATTTCCCAGTTTTTACTTACAATGAGAAGGGAGACTTGATAACAGATTATCCATATATACAGGTAAGCATGAGACATGTATCTTAGAGAGTACAATAGTGAGTAAAATTAAATTGCCATGCTCTAAAGACTGGATGGATGAAGGTTGTCAGTTTTGATAACAAATTCCTGGATCTTCAACTGACTTGTAATTTGAGGGACTTTTCTGTGTAGTGAGACAAGCATATCCTGGGCTGAAAGCTGATGAATTTAACCTTAGGTATGGTTAATAAACCCCTGATTAATAACCTCTCCTTAGATCTTAGTTCCTTCTGAACAGCTGACACATCTGGCAGTTGAGTTCCTCCACTGATTGAAGGCCACTTGCTAGTTGTGGTACTTCTTACCAGGTGATGCCAGAGCATTCAATATTCTCTGTCACTGTCTTCTGCCAGTTCTTTCATGGCCTTCTTTGCTTACACATTTCATGGCTAATCACTCTGAGGTAAAATACTAATTTTTTAAAATTCATTAGCCAAATTCTAACTGAAAGAGGGGACAACATGAAGAAAATGGGCTGTCAAACTGCTGAAAGTTGCAAAGATTTTAAAAAATATTTTAAAAAATAGTTGGCCATTCCTACTCTTTGTTCTCATTTCCTCCTTCCCTTGTTAAAAGTGAGCAGGGCTCATCTTCTCTGAATAGCTGCAAAATATTTTTGCTTTAAAATCAAATTGCTAGAGAGCGGTGGTTATATTCTGCCAAGTATACAAGGAACGTAGAGGCAAATGAATAGTTACTGGAGGGCCAATAGCCTTGCTGACCTGTAGAAGGAAGTAGATTGGGAGAGTATGATGATGGGAAGGGCCCAGTTCTTTTCCCACTGAAGGAAATGTCTGAACTCCCATTGACTTCACTAGGAGGAGGATTGTGCCTGAAGGAAGGAAATCGAACAGAGATTTAAAAAAAACCTCACTTCTAGCAGTTTGAAAGTCTCATTCTCTTTAGTTTATTGGTATTTATTCCTTCTTTTGTGTAAGCTTTGTTGCCCTTTAACATCAACTGAAGGGAGTGAGAAGTGGAGGAGGTCAAAATTGTTGCTAGTCATCATCTTAATTTCACCATTCAGGAGCGAATCAGAAGAGAGATCACAGTAGCCAGATGAGCTAGAAAGATATGATTGACATTCTTAGCTCTCCCTTGCACATGCATTGTTGGTAGATGGGCATTATGGAACATGGTACCCCAATAACCCCTTTCCAGTGCGTATGTAGTTAAGCTGATTCTTCCTCCATCTTGGATATGGATATGCTTTTTCCAGTATAAATAGAATATCAGGGTTGGACGGGATCTCAAGAGGTCATCTAGTCCAACCCCCTGTTCAAAGCAGGACCAATCCCCAGACAGATTTTTAACCCAGTTCCCTAAATGGGCCCCCTCAAGGATTGATCTCACAACCCTGGGTTTAGTAGGCCAATGCTCAAACCACTGAGCTATCCCTCCTCCCCACAAAATACTGTCAAACATGAAGCGGGTGCATCAAAGGAGGCAATGCAATTCACTAGACTGGAACTGAGGCCTGTGTTTAATTCCCAACTTTATCTCTGACCAGTTGTGTGGCACTGGGAAAGTCACTTTACATCTTGTCCCACTGATTTGTCTGTCTTGTCTATGTAGAATGTAAGCTCTTCAGAGCAGGGACTTTCTCTTACTATGGGCTTGTCTACACTTCAAACACTACAGTGGCACAACTGCAGTGCTGTACATAGCAGAAACGGCAAGAGGTCTAGAACTGTGGAGCCTGGAGTGGAAAAGACTGTACTTGGAGGTGAGATTGTTGGAGCTGGTATCCAGGTATCAGAGAGAGCTGATAGAACTGGATCAACAGAAGCTTGTTGACCAGAACAAACACAGCTGGCTCAAAGAGGAGAAGAGAGTCAAGTCATGCCCATGGGACCAAAGAACAAGGACATATAACATGCCTTAACAGCAGCTAAAAGGCAATCAGGTGGGGATAGAATGAATCCCATCGCTCTGCCTCTACCCTGAGTCAATATGGACACCAAAGGATGTTCTGGGATTCTGCTTGTGGAAATATGGGAGGTTATTTCATTTGATGTGTTAATCTGCATAATGATGTAATAGGATTAATCTCTGAAGTTTCAGGTGCAAACCATCAAGGCCAGAATCAGAGGCTCAGGGGAAAGATCTCTGTCTATCCTCACCTGGGAAACTAGGTCAATGCTGAGTGTGTCTGTGGCCCAGATTTCAGCTGAGAGCAGCAAGATACTGGTACAGCTAGGAGATGGTCTGGGCCAGACCTCCGCTGGGAGCAGGGAAGATTATGGCACATCTGACAGGTGTTATGATTCAAAACTTCTCAGGAAAAGGGAAATTCAGGCACAGACAAAAGGTGCCATGTGTCAGAGTTCCCCTAGATTGAGAGAAACAGAGAGTAGTAAAGAGTGTTGCCAAAATTACAATATCACCAGAGGGTGGGAAAAGCTCCAGAGGGGTGTGAAACAATCACTGGAAGAGTGTAGATGGAAAGGAGGTAGAAAAATTCTCTTTAATCTATGCCTTCAGGTTATTTGGTCATGATGTAATTAAACTTGAGGGAGATGGAGGAAGAAACACACCTCACCTCTCCCCAGGCGGGGTGAAGAAGAGAATTCTACCTTGCCCAAGGACAGCGACCACTCTTCTCTCAGAAGGAGACCCAAGGCTCTTGGGACCACCTCAACCTATCAGAAATACCAGGGTGACGAGCATAATGGGGGAGACCGCTAACTCTGCAGTTAGTTTCCCCTTCTCTGGGATAATGATGGAGGAGATTTATACGATGTAGGTAGGAACCTACCTATGATGTTTTCATGAAATTGTATTTTGGTACGATTATTGGAATTGTTTAATGACTGAATGCATGTATTAAGTTTGAATTAATAAGTAGTAACAGAAGATGCACTGTCTGAAGCTGGGGTGCCAAAATATCCCTGGAGTACTGGTCAATAAGGGAGATTCCTGTCAATAAGGGAGAAATGTGATGGATTGGGAATACGTCTGTACAACTTACAAATTCTGGTTCACGTTGGGAAGTTGTACTATGAAAACCTGCTGTATTATGAGTGCCTATATGCATGTGGATCCATCATTGCTGACAGGTCTGTAGCAGGTACACACAGGTACACACCAGGCAGAAATACAATGGGATGGTGCTTAGGACCCTACGCCTCTATTCAGGATCAACCCACCTGAACAATGGGTGAGCTGCATTCTTTGCAAATCAGTTTAGCTGACTCTCCTGAAGGAAGGGGAAAGAGCAGTGGAAAGCTACCCAAAGGACAGACTAAAGGAATCCAAGGAGGTTTAAATTAGCGAGCCACATAGAAACAAGGAGAGCCACACAAGCAGGAAGCTTTGTGATCAGTGAGAGGAAAAAACACAATCATAGTATCATAGAAGATTAGGGTTGGAAGAGACCTCAGGAGGTTATTTAGTCCAACCCCCTGCTCAAAACAGGACCAACCCCAACTAAATCATCCCAGGAAGGGCTTTGTCAAGCCGGACATTAAAAACCTCTAAGGATGGAGATTCCACCACCTCCCTAGGTAATTCATTCCAGTGCTTCACCACCCTCCTAGTGAAATAGTGTATCCTACTATCCAATCTAGACCTCCCCCACTGCAACTTGAGACCATTGCTCCTTGTTCTGTCATCTGCCACCACTGAGAACAGCCTAGCTCCCTCCTCTTTGGAACTCCCCTTCAGATAGTTGAAGTCTGCTATCAAATCCCCCCTCACTCTTCTCTTCTGCAGACTAAATAAGCCCAGTTCCCTCAGCCTGTCCTCGTAAGTCATGTGCCCCAGCCCCCTAATCATTTTTGTTGCCCTCCACTGGACTCTCTGCAATATGTCCACATCCTTTCTGTACTGCGGGTCCCAAAACTGGATGCAATAGTCCAGATGTGGCCTCACCAGTGCTGGATAGAGGGGAATAATCACTTCCCTCAATGTGCTGGCAATGCTTGTACTAATGCAGCCCAATATGTTGTTGGCCTTCTTGGCAACAAGGGCACACTGCTGACTCATATCCAGCTTCTCGTCCACTGTAATCCCCAGGTCCTTTTCTGCAGAACTGCTGCTTAGCCAGTCTGTCCCCAGCCTGTAGCAATGCATGGGATTCTTCCATCCTAAGTGCAGGACTCTGCACTTGTCCTTGTTGAACAACATCAGATTTCTTTTGGCCCAATCCTCCAATTTGTCTAGGTCATTCTGGACCCTATCCCTACCCTCCAGCATATCTACCTCTTCCCCTCAGTTTAGTGTCATCTGCAAACTTGCTGAGGGTGCAATCCATCACATCATCAAGATCATTAATGAAGATGTTGAACAAAACCGGTCCCATGACCAACCCTTGGGGCACTCCGCTTGATACTGGCTGCCAACTAGACATTGAGCCGTTGATAAGTACCTGTTGAGCCCAACAATCTAGCCAGCTTTCTATCCACCTTATAGTCCATTCATCCAATCCATTCTTCTTTAACTTGCTGGCAAGAATACTGTGGGAGACCATATCAAAAGCTTTCCTAAAGTCAAGGTATATCACGTCCACCACTTTCCCGATATCCACAGAACCAGTTATCTTATCATAGAAGGCAATCAGGTTGGTCAGGCATGAGTTGCCCTTGGTGAATCCATGTTGACTGTTCCTGATCACCTTCCTCTCCTCCAAGTGCTTCAAAATAGATTCCTAGGGGACCTGCTCCATGATTTTTCCAGGGACTGAGGTGAAGCTGACTGGTCTATAGTTACCCAGATTCTCCTTGTTTCCTTTTTTAAAGATGGGCAATGTGTTGGAGCCCTATGGTACAGTGGGGCCTCACCTGCTGTAGCGGAGTGATCACCCGCTCCTGCCTGGATGGGCTTAAAACAGCCCTGGAGAGGGCAGGGGTAGGGGGGAAAAGCTGGACTGATTGGGAAGCAGCCGCAGCTGGGGCCATGCCCTAAACAGACCCAGCTGGCTCTATAAAAGCCAGGGAAGCCAGGAGCAGACAGACTCTCTCTCTGCCTTTAGAGGGAGAAGGGCCTGGCTGCTGAGGAGTGTACCTGGGTACCTAAGGTGGAGCAGGGCTGGGGGAAGGCAAGAGGAGCTGGAGAGCTCTGGCCTGGAAACCCCCCAGGCTGCTGGCCTAGTATAAGCCTGAATAGGTACTGACGTTGCGGGGGCAGCCCAAGGGTAGGTAGAGGCAGCAGGTCCAAATCCACCTTGCCTGTGATGAGTGGCTTATATACTGCAGTCTGCCCCAGTGAATGAGGGCTAGATGGGGACTGGGCAGTAGCCATATACTGAGGTGAGGTGGGGATAGGCAGTGGGGGTTCCCCTGGAAGGAGGAGACCCAGAGACTGTGGGGTTACTGCCAGGGGGCAGCACCCCAGTGGAAAGGGGCACCGGGGTCTGGGAGGGACACGGGGGCCCAGGGATAGTGAGACATCGGCTGACAGAGGGTTCTCCAAAGGCTGGAAGCTAATTCCCTGAGAGACCAGCAGGAGGTGCTACAGGGGTAAGTCTTGCACTGCTACACCTGCTTTTCTGAGCCCAGATGACCCCAAGAACTCTGGGCAACCCAGGGGACTCTGATATGATCCCAAACAATGCCCTGGTGTGGTAAGTAAACTGATACAGGTACAGTGCATGTAATACTGTTTTGTATGATCTGTGCTCTCCTGTGCTTTACATACTGGAGTAGGTCTGTTTTGTCCACTTATTACAACAGTGTCTGCACAATGGGTCCTTGATCTGCTCTAGGTATTTAGGCCCTCCTGTAGAATAAATAAAAAATTAATAGTAAACTTCAGTCCTGCTTGTGAGTATCCTTTCTAGCATCCCCCACGTCTGACAGTTTGACCCTCCCTTTGAGGATCCACTCATTTTTTTAAGTAATTTGAAGGGGAAGATTGGTTTATTTTCCCAAAGAAGTATTCCCAAATCTCTTATTAAGGTTCCATTGGAAATGACTCGAATCAAATAGTTTTTAACTTTACTGTAGTTGTCTTCCAAAGTGGAAAAATAATATTGTTCTGGAATTGGTCTGCCTCCAGTTGGTAGGCAGAACGGGAAGAGCCCTGTGTCTGGATATAGAGGCTCCTAGGAAGAAAATACACAAGTAAGACTGCATTTTCACTTCAGTTTCTTGCTAACACTCCTAATATATCAGAAGCTTGTTTCAGATGGTGTTAGATTTTCATATAAACCTGTAATCTTTCCTGAACCTCTTGAAAAAGCAGAACAACACTTGAAGCAGAACAACCTGGAACAAGGCTTCCTCAGCTCTCGTACACTCACGCCCCTTCTCTACCTATGCTACATTGATGACATCTTCATCATCTGGACTCATTGGAAGGAGACTCTGGAAGAATTCCACCACGATTTCAACAGCTTCCACCCCACCATCAGCCTCAGCCTGGACCAATCTACACGGGAGGTCCACTTCCTAGACACCACGGTACAAATAAGTGATGGTCACGTTAACATCACCCTATACCGAAAACCCACCAACTGCTACGCCTACCTTCATGCCTCCAGCTTCCATCCCAGACACAACACATGATCCATCGTCTACAGCCAAGCGCTGAGGTACAACCGCATTTGCTCCAACTCCTCAGACAGAGACCAACACCTACAAGATCTTCACCAACCATTCTCAAAACTACAATACCCACACAAGGAAATAAGGAAACAAATCAACAGAGCCAGACATGTACCCAGAAGCCTCCTGCTACAAAACAAGCCCAAGAAAGAAACCAACAGAACTCCACTGGCCATCACCTACAGTACTCAGCTAAAACCTCTCCAACGCATCATCAATGATCTACAACCCATCCTGGACAACGATCCCTCGCTTTCACAGGCCTTGGGAGGTAGGCCAGTCCTCGATCACAGACAACCCACCAACCTTAAGCATATTCTCACCAGCAACAACACACTGCACCATAGTAACTCTAACTCAGGAACCAATCCATGCAACAAACCTCGATGCCAACTCTGCCCACATATCTACACCAGCGACATCATCACAGGACCTAACCAGATCAGTGACAACATCACCGATTCATTCACCTGCACATCCACCAATGTAATATACGCCATCATGTGCCAGCAATGCCCCTCTGCTATGTACATCGGCCAAACTGGACAGTCCCTACGTAAAATGATAAATGGACACAAGTCAGATATTAGGAATGGCAATATACAAAAGCCTGTAGGAGAACACTTCAATCTCCCTGGACACACAATAGCAGATTTAAAGGTAGCCATCCTGCAGCAAAAAAACTTCAGGACCAGACTTCAAAGAGAAACTGCTGAACTTCAGTTCATTTGCAAATTTGACACCATCAGCTCAGGATTAAACAAAGACTGTGAATCGCTAGCCAAGTACAAAAGCAGTTTCTCCTCCCTTGGTGTTCACACCTCAACTGCTAGAAGAGGGCCTCATCCTCCCTGATTGAACTAACCTCGTTATCTCTAGACTGATTCTTGCCTGCATATTTATACCTGCCTCTGGAAATTTCCACTACATGCATCTGAGGTGCCACAGGACTCTTTGTCACTTTTTGAAAAAGCAGGTGATTCAAGGTTGTGTAGTTTCAGAGTTATGTTGACTATGCTTCAGCCCTCTTCCTTCCTTGGACATAATTGTATTAGAAAAATTCATGTCATTTCCAGTAGGCTTATTTTTCTGTTAATATGCCTTTAACTAATTATTGATGGTAAGGTAGTAGAAGCGTGAATAGTAAGGTATTAGGAATTCATTGTGTGAAAGGTGTAATATTTGAGAACCTCTCTTTGAAGCTCACTCAATCTCTGCAGCATTGTCTCTGCACTGTTAACATGAGTGAAAAGCAGCAAAACTTGGTTTTAACACCAAAGTCAGCAGATCTGAGTACACAGGAGAACAGATCTGCTGAGTGAAAAGGTGTCATTCGTACACTCCTTTTTCATATTAGAACCCCATTTTGAGATCAGATGCAAAAAAAATTAGACTTTGCACTGTGTATATTTAATTTTGTGTAACTAGTATCTGTTATTCTGTTTGACTAATATTAATGATAGAAAAGAAAAACTTTTTTTTGGACCTTGCAGGATGATTGCTACTACTCTGGATATGTAGAGGATGTCCCAGAATCTGTTGCAGTTCTCAGCACCTGCTCTGGACTCTGGTAATGTAGACTCCTCAGTATGCTAGACTGCAAACATTATGAATTTTCTTCTTCTGAAACGGAAAGGTAGATTGAACATAACAGAATAACTGGTTAGTGCCCCTTTATCTTTTCCTAATGCAGATTTCATGCTAATCAGTTAAGTGTCATTTGCTGTTACTGCATAGGGCTAGAATCACAAGTCTGTAATCTTAATTATATATATAATATATATATATATAGTGCAGTATGTAGTGCAGTGATGATGGATCTGTGGCTTTTAAAACAGGTAGTGCGGTGATGACTGATCTGTGGCTTGATGGCCATTCAGGGCTCTTCGGGCTCTTAATTGTGCCTCTCAAAGGTGGCTGTGTTACCAAGAACATTTCTAGTCAATTGTAAATTGGAAATGTTTTTCCCTCAATAGCACATTCCTGTCAGGAGGCAAAGGAGGAAATTTCAGTACAAGTTCTGCAAAATCTGCATTATACATCAAAAATAATTCAGATGGAAAATTCCTGACCAGTTCTAATATGTTTGCAGAGTTTTTTAATTTTCTCAAGTCTCTAAATCACACTTCAATTTTGCAATTCTCAGGGGCCATTTGATGATTTACGATTTAAACTATGAAATTGAACCTGTTAAATCTTCCTCTACATTTCAACATGTTATTTATCAAATGGCAGCTGATGAAGATTCACCTGATCGATGTGGAGTAACTGATGAAGATATCAAAGATCAAGCCGCTAAAGGCAGAGAACATCAAATATCTATGGTTCAGATGGAGAGACAACTTGAAGTAAATGTAAGTGTTTTTTATGGGCTCACATAAAGTAAATGCATATTATGTAGAACGGGGTAATCAATAGGCAGACTGCGGGCCAAATCTGGACTACCATATGCTTTTGAATGGACCCCACAATCTTTTTTTTTTTTTTTTTTACTCATTATTATTGGGTTTTTTTAATTATTTTCTCTGGAGTCTGGACCTTGATTATACCTTGGCCAAGAAATTTGTGCCTTAACAAAAGATAATTCACTACCTGTGATGTAGAACATACTAAGCTATGCATGTTAGGCCCATTTTTCAAACTCACTGTTGGAAGTGACCTCAGTTGTGCTGGAAATTCACTTTGTAGTCAGGGGAACAAATTAATTCTGTTACCCCTGAGTTTACCATCCATAAGTCTGGTAGCTAAAAGCATTCCTATCTATTGATTGTGAAAGAAGTAGTTTGTCACCATCATGGAATCTATTCAACGTGTGCCTAAATGCCCCAGTTGGTAGTTCCAGCTCTATTTCCCTTTGCTGATTTCTTTCTAGAAATGTTTTCAATTCTGCTTTGACTTGATTTTTTCATGGTCAGATAAATTCCAGTATTCCACTTCCATCTGGCAGAAGAAGGTCATTCCTCCCCCCCGCCCCCCCCCCCCGTCTGTTTCACTTAGGGAAGGCCTGACACTCTGGGAAAGAGAGAGTAGTGGGGTAGTCGAGCTGTCACACCTTTCTCCTCCTCCTTGCATCTTGACCCATAGGTCTAAATGAAGGGGAGTGCACTGGGAGCAGGTAGGTGAGATTAGGCCTCGGTTCTCCAGTGCCTGTCTCCCCTAGCTGTGGAGATAACCCACGATGCACAGAAGCTACATTACATCTCAGGAGGATCCCTCCTACATGAAAGACTAAAGACATAACCCAGAGAACTGCCACCAGGTGTTGCTGCTGGGACTGGACCCAAGCCCACCACCTCCGATACATGGTGGAGAATATGGGCAACACCTGAGTCCTGTGAAAAGTGTAACTCCCCCTCCTGTTCACTGGCCCACTATGAGGTTGTAGAGGTTGTTCAAGATAGGGGAAGCCTGCCTTGCGACTTTTTACACTACTTTGGGAAACTGAGCCTGAGGCTCCTCTGTGTGCTCTGCGTTGTGTGTCAGTGTGTGTTCACCGCAGACTAGACCCACTCAGACAAATTACCAGGAACAAGGTTTATTCTGTAAAGAACAAAGAACAGGATTACAGTCCAGCAGCCTCCTCTCTGCTTGCCTGCTTCGTGCTCCCAGCTCAGTCAGTGCTCAGACCTCCTGCTGAGAGAGCAGAGGGTACATTGTACAACACAGCCCCACTTACAAACATGTTCTAACTCTCACAATATCTAAACCCTAAAACAAATAAGCCCATGTTCTCCTTTTGTCTCATTTAAACTCCTCTCAGGGTGCTCTTTAAGCCCTTTTTGGTCCTACCTGTAAAGAACATAGAACAGGATTACAGTCCAGCAGCATCCTCTCTGCTTACTGGCTATGTGATCCCAGCTCAGTCAGTGCTGAGACCTCCTGCTGGGGGGGAGAGGGTACATCCTGGCAGGAACCAGGAATTTCTCCCAACATGCTGCAGTTTCAAGTCCACAACTTGTAGTTCCCAAGACTGCTGTTGAAGCACACTGGACCTTGGGCAACAAAAGGACCACTGATTGAATGATCCAAAAGAGGTCACAGATACAGAAAAGCTGATTAAATGAATTTTGGAGAACCTGCAACAGCAAGGGCAGATACTGCAACAGATTGCTGCCCAGCAACAACCGCTAATTTGCGAGCTGGCGGCCCAGAACCAGGCACAACGAGAACACCTGATCCAGCAGGTGGCAATGCTATTACAGCTCCAGGGGGCATCCAACATCACAGTTCCTGGGTCTGTAGTAGATGCTCTCCTCCCCAAGATTCCTGTCTGGCTTATGAAAATGGGCCCTGGAGATGACCCCAAACTTTCCTGGTCACCTTTGAATGGATGGCCACCATACCATTGACCACCCAAATAGCCCCATACTTGACCAGCCCTGTGCAAGAAGCATATAGGAGCTTGGACCCCGCTGAAGCACTAGACTACACCAAGGTTAAAAGCAACCTGTGACATTGTGCAGTCTATATGTTTTTATAAAAATTTAATATGTGAATATAATGTAACTGAAATATGCTTCATGCAAAAGATCTCTTGTAAGGTATCATTACAAAGCTTATAATCTACTGAGTGTGATCAACCTATTTGTAGGACCACTCTTGTATCTGAAACTAAAAATATAAAATATAACTCTGAGGGCCTATTGTGATTATGTAAAGTGTGGGCCATTAATGGTGGTTTGGAATATTGATGACTCCCATTAACTAGGACCATTGTCTGCAAATGGCTGTGCTTTACCTGCAAGTCTTCCTGTATAGGTGTGTGCTGGCAAGTGGGTAATGAAGTCTTGCAGTGACACGTGATCATGTCACCTGAACTGGAATCCATCTTTAACCTGGTGCTTTTCCAGTGGGGGGGAGGGGGAGTGGAAACCCAGAGGGACAAAGGGTTCCCACCTTATGCAAAATCCCCTAGCTTCCACCTGAGCTGGAACAAGAGCTGTACCAGGGGAAAGAATTGTGCCCAGGCCTGGAAGGTGTCCAGTCTGAGGAAAAAACTTACTGAAGCATCTCTGAGGGTGAGATTATCTGTATTCAGTTTAATCAGACATACATGTGTGCATTTTATTTTATTTTGCTTGGTGACTTACTTTGTTCTGTCTGTTACTACTTGGAACCACTTAAATCCTACTTTCTGTATTTAATAAAATCACTTTTTACTTATTAATTAACTCAGAGTATGTATTAATACCCGGGGGAGCAAACAACTGTGCATATCTCTCTATTAGTGTTATAGAGGGCAAACAATTTATGAGTTTACCCTGCATAAGCTTTATACAGGGGTAAAACGGATTTATTTGGGTGTAGGCCCCATTGGGAGTTGGGCATCTGAGTGCTAAAGACAAGCACACTTCTGTAAGCTGCTTTCAGGTAAACCTGCCGCTTTGGGGCAAGTAATTCAGACCCTGGGTCTGTGTTGGAGCCAGACGGGAGTGTCTGGCTCAGCAAGACAGGGTGCTGGAGTCCTGAGCTGGCAGGGAACACAGGGATAGAAGTAGTCTTGGCATATCAGGGGGCAACTCCCAGGGGGGTTTCTGTGATCCAACCCGTCCCACAGCCATACTAGATTGTTTAGATACCAATCCCAAGTTGTTTCACTGGAGGTTTCTCAAAGAGAGATACCTGGCCCCGTGTGGTGGTCAAAAGGACCAGTGTTGGCACTGGTTATACCCAGAAAAACAGACCAGAGTGAAGGTGGTGGAAATTATTGTGTTAGGATAGTTCATCCATATTCTCCCAGTCGTGATGAAGGAATGGGTGAAGTGCTATCCGCCATCGACCCTCGCAGAGGCCATGACCCTAATGGAGAACTACAAGTGTGCTGAGAGATCAGCCTTACTGACAGTGAGGGGAGTGCCCCTGGAAGCAAGATTCTGATCCCTAGCAGGGGCCTGTTCAAAGGGAAGGTTGAGAACAGCTAAACTGGTCATCATCCTAGGAGATGGCCCTGACTGCAGGGAGAGACCTAACTGCAGAGGTGGAATGGAGAGGAGGCTTGTGCTTCCAAAGAGGGGGATATGCCCTATCAGGAAGACCCACAGCACCAGAGGTGGGCCAGCCAATAGCAACCCCAAAGGGGAAGTGCTTCGAGTGTGGATGGCAGGGACAGTTCAGGTGGGAGTGTCCCTTTGTGAACTGCAGTTATGGGGAGGCATGGTCATCAGGCACCTGAAAGAGGACCCAACTAGGATGTTGCTACCAGTATGGGTCAATGGCACCAAAATAATGGGCCTGGTGGACTTCAGATGTAGCCAGACCATCATGTGGACTAGCTTGCTGGAGTCCCCTGACATGGTGGGGGCACCCTATTGACATCCACTGTACCCATAGCGATGTGCTGCCCTACCCCATCACAAAAGTACAAGTAGAAGTCGAGGGCCATATTGAGACTCACAGAGTCGGCTTAGTGACCGCCCTGATCTACCCGGTAATATTGGGACAAGACTGGAGATGGTTTGGAGAACTACAGCAGCTGTGGAAAAAAGAACCTCCCTCCCCAACACAGGCTGAACGAAACCTAAAAATGAGAGGGCTTATGTGACAGGACAAAGCAGAGGTTATGGTTGGGGACCCTGAGGCCAGTCAGGAATGCTGATCAGCAAGCCACCACACCCAGCCTTCACACAGCTTTAGGACCTAAAAAGGAACTTCCCACTGGGACTTCAGTCCTTTTCTGCATCAAGGATTGTGGGTTACAGCAAGCAACTGCAGGTAGTTTTGGTTTTCCACTGGAAAAACAAAGAATCAGTGCTCTAAAGAAACCCATTAGTAAAGGGAAACGATTATATTTTTATAGTAGCACTTACCCAGCACTGTCAGTTAGCTTCATGCAATTCTTCTCAAATTCAGTGTTGGTGCCAAGAAAATAGTATTCTGGAGAATGATAGAATCATATGACATGATGGGACCTCGAGAGGTCATCTAGTCCAGTCCCCTGAACTCATGGCAGGACTAAATAGTATTTAGACCATCCCTGACAGGTGTTTGTCAAACCTGCTCTTAAAAATCTCCAGTGATGGAGATTCCTCATCCTCCCTAGGTTAACCTGTGTTTAATCACCCTAAAAGTTAGGAAGATTTTCCTAATGTCCAACGTAAACCACCTTTGCTGCAATTTAAGCCCATTGCTTCTTGTCCTATCATCAGAGGTTAAGGAGAACAATTTTTCTCCCTTCTCCTTGTAATAACCTTTTATGTACTTGAAAACTGTTGTTATGTTCTGTGAGAGACCCAGACCAATTGGAAACAGCAGAGTAGCAGAAGGGAGATATACTGGCCACTGGATACGTAGTTTTCTATTCCCTGAGTGACCAGAGCAGGGGCTGCTCCAGGCTAATAGACCACCTGACTCCTATTAACCTGCTAAGAGTCAGGTGAGGCAGTTAAGCACCTGACTCTAATTAAGGCCCCTCTGATGCTATAAAAGGGCTCACTCCAGTCAAGCCAGGGGGAGCCAGAGGAGAGGAAGTGTGTGTGAGGAACTGGGAGCAAGAGGTGTGAAAGAAGTTGAGAGTGAGTAGGCGTACTGCTGGAGGACTGAGAAGTACAAGCGTTATCAGACATCAGGAGGAAGGTCCGGTGGTGAGGACAAAGAAGGTGTTGGGAGGAGGCCATGGGGAAGTAGCCCAGGGAGTTGTAGGTGTCGTGCAACTGTACCAGGAGGCACTCTAAACAGCTGCAGTCCACAGGGTCCTGGGCTGGAACCCGGAGTCGAGGGCGGGCCCGGGTTCCCCCCATACCTCCCAACTCCTGATCAAACACAGGAGGAATTGACTGGACTACAGCTTCTACCTGAGGGGAAGGTCTCTGGATTGTTTCCTGGCCCACAGGGTGAATCTGTGAAGCGAGCAAATCCGCCAATAAGCGCAGGACCCACAAAGGTAGAGGAGGAACTTTGTCACAGTTCCCTTTCAGTCTTCTCTTCTCCAGACTAAACAAATCCAGTTTTTTCATTCTTCCCTCATAAGTCATGTTTTCTAGACCTTTAGTTCTTTTTGTTTCTCTTCTCTGGACGTTCTCAGACTTCTTCACATCTCTCCTGAAGTGTGGGACACAGAAATGGACATTATACTCCAGTTAAGGCCTAATCAGTGCAGAATAGAGCAGAAGAATTACTTCTCATGTCTTGCTTACAACACTCCTGCTAATACGTCCCAGAATGATTTCTTTTTTTGCAACAGTGTTACACTGTTCACTCATATTTAGCTTGTGATCTACTATGACCCCAGGTCCCTTTCTGCAGTACTCCTTCCTTGGCAGTCACTTCCCATTTTGTGTGTGTGCAACTAATTGTTCCTTCCTCAATGGAGTACTTTGCATTTGTCCTTATTGAAAATTTCATCCTATTTCCTTCAGACCATTTCTCCAGTTGATCCCGATCATTTTGAATTTTAATCCTATCCTCCACAGCACTTGCAACCCCTCCAATCTTGGTATCGTCCGCAAACTTTATAAGAGTTGTCTTCATGCCATTATCTAAACCATTGATGAAGATATTGAACAGAACCGGACACAGAACTGATCCCTGCAGCTTATGCCCAAATAAATCTGTTAGTCTTTAAGGTGCCACCGGACTCCCTGTTGACTCTATTATCTAGTCTTTTTATAACTAACTTTTACAAAACACAGAGCTCATAGTAGATCATAAGCTAGTAGATCACCTCTCCTAACTTCAATAAACTACTTATCAACAAACATTTCTAACAATCTTAGTCATAATAAACTTCTATATCAAAAGCACCCAAATTCAAGGTTTCCATCCACTTATTTTCTTTCAGTATCAATTTGTTAACTCTCTTCTCACTTCCTCCCATTCTGATGAGCAAAAACTGAAACCTACAGCTAATTTTGACCTTGCTTTCAGAAGCCCTGCTTATTTCAATTAACCCTTAACTATGTAGTGTTCTATTTTACTAACTCATAGTGGCTGAATGCATTCAATATGGTTGCAGTCAGTTTGATCAAAATCTGGGGGGCACACACCCCTCAAATCCAGAGCAACAGCAAGACCCCAATCGATGTGCCTTTCCAGCTTGACTGTGAACCACTAATAACTATTCTCTGGGAATGGTTTTCCAACTAGTTATGCACTTACCTTATAGTAGCTCCATCTAGGTTGGATTTCCCTAGTTTGTTTATGAGAAGGTTGTGTGAGACAGTATCAAAAGCCTTACTAAAATCAAGGTATACCATATCTACTGCTTCCCCCCATCCACAAGGCTTGTTACCCTGTCAAAGAATTATAATTCTGTAAGATTTTCCTGTTGTGTGGGTGACGTAATACAGGAGGGTATGATTCAGAAGTGTATTTCGCATGCAGTTAAACACATCAATTTATTTTACATAACCCTGCTTTACATGTCTTTTCTTCCAGAAAGATGAACTAGACACTTTGTACACGTCTACCAGATATTTAGAGTGTTATTTTGCTGCAGACAAAGCAAAGGTAAGTATTTTTTTTCTAACTTTAAATTATTTTATTAGTTATCCTTCTGCACTTAAGTCACCCATTAAAAGTATATATGCAACATTGACGTTTAAGCATTTAAGCATTAGGATGTGAATCATTCTGCTTAGTCATTGGCTAGAAATATAAATATACCCTTCAGTTGATGAAAGTTGGATATTTTAAAATCAGCAGGTCCAGATAACTTGCATCGAACAATTTTAAGAGAGCTGGCTGAGTAACCTGCTAAACCACTCATGTTGATTTTCAATAAGTCTTAGAAAACTGGGGACGTTCCAGAAGACTGGAAGAAAGCTAATGTTGTGCCAATATTTAAAAAGGGTAAATTTGATGACCCAGTTAATTATAGGCCTGTCAGACCCCCATCGATCCCAGGCAAGATAATGGACTTGCTGATACAGAAATTGATTAATAAAGAATTAGAGGAGGGTAATATAATTAATGACAATTAACATGGGTTATGGAAAATAGATCCTGTCATACTAACCTGATACCTTTTTTCATAAGATTACACGTTGGGTTTATAAAGTAATAGTGTTGATGTAACAGACTTCTTTAAGGCATTTGGCTTGTACTGCAGAACATTTTGATTAAAAAAATGGAATGATATAAACTTAAGATGGCATACATTAGATGGATTAAAACTGGCTAACTGGTTACTTCTTTGAGTAGTGTCCCTGTGGGTGCTCCACTTCAGATTCCGGTGCATCCCTGCATCATAGATTGGAGATTTTCAGTAGCAGTGCTCAGTCAGGGCATGCATGTGCAGTAGTCCTCACACAGTGCCGTTGGCATCTCATCTAGCGCTCATGTGACCCAACCCTTTCAGTTTCTTCTCAACCATCCTTGGCTGCAGACAGAGCTCAGTGGCAGTGCTGCCTCTTCACTTACTCTAGAAATAAATAAGTTAGTTTTAATTTAGTAAGTCTCTTTACTTAGGCCTGGTCTACACTAGGCTTTTATGTCGAATTTAGCGCCGTTATATCGAATTAACCCTGCACCCGTCCACACCAGGAAGCCATTTAGTTCGACATAGAGCTCTCTTTAAATCGATTTCTGTAATCCTCCCCAACGAGAGGAGTAGCGCTAAATTCGAAATGGCCATATCGAATTAGGCTAGGTGTGGATGGAAATCGACGCTAATAGCTCCGGGAGCTATCCCACAGTGCACCACTCTGTTGACGCTCTGGACAGCAGTCCGAGCTCGGATGCTCTGACCAGCCACACCCCGGGAAAATTTGAATTCCTTTTCCTGTCTGGGCAGTTTGAAGCGCAGTTTCTGTTTGGACACCGTGGCGAGCTCAGCAGCAGTGGCAGCAGTGGCAACGATGCAGAGCTCTCCAGCAGAGATGGCCGTGCAATCCAATAGAAAGAGGGTCCCAGCATGGACGGATCGGGAAGTCTTGGATCTCATCGCTGTGTGGGGAGATGAGTCCGTGCTTTCCGAGCTGCGCTCCAAAAGACGGAATGCAAAGACCTATGAGAAGATCTCTAAAGCCATGGCAGAGAGAGGCTACAGCCGGGATGCAACGCAGTGCCGCGTGAAAATCAAGGAGCTGAGACAAGGCTACCAGAAGACCAAAGAGGCAAACGGACGCTCTGGATCCCAGCCCCACACATCCCGTTTCTACGAGGCACTGCATTCCATCCTAGGTGCGGCCGCCACCACTACCCCACCCCTGACCGTGGACTCTGAGGATGGGATATTGTCCGCGGCCGGTTCCTCCGACATGTTAGCGGACGGGGAAGATGAAGAAGGAGATGAGGAGGACGAGGCAGTCGACAGCGCTGGCACCGCTGATTTCCCCGACAGCCAGGAGCTCTTCATCACCCTGACAGAGATCCCCTACCAACCGTCCCCCGCCGTTACCCCAGACACAGATTCAGGGGAAGGATCAAGCAGTAAGTGTTTTAAATATCTAAACATTTATTTACAACATAACTGGCATATTTAAAATATTAACAGTAGCTAAAGTGCTTTAAAACATGTAAACATTTATTTACAACAAAACAGGAAGATTTAAAATATTAACAGTGGGTAAAGTGCTTCAAAACATGTAAACAGGAAAGTCAAACAAAAGGGGAATCTGTGCAAAGTGTATCATGATTAGTCTGTCTTTGGGCGCCTCAATATGTAGTCCGAACCATTTTCAAAAAATTTCACAATGTCCGCTTCATGATTATAGTGCCCAAAACCCTGCAGTCATTTGTCCCTCCAAGGGCACCTAAGCCAAGAACTGGTCAATGTAACCGGGGATAGAGGCGAGATCCTCCAGGGAGAACTCCTCATACGCCTCCTGCAGGTGTTTTTCCAGCCTCATGAGCAGGTTCCTGAGCAGGGAGAGCTTATTAGGCCCCCCGTGGTAGGACACGTTTCCCTGCCACAACGCCAGCAGGTACTCCGGGATCATGGCCTTGCAGAGCATTGCAGCAAATGGCCCCGGTTTCTGCAGGCTGTCCCGGAGCATCTTCTCCTTCTGGCTCTCCGAGACCTTCAGGAGGGTGATGTCTGGCATGACTCCCTGCTGTGAATTAGGTAGGGGAAAGTTAGTATTGGGACTGCTTGCCCGTCCCTTTACAGAACTGCAACCGCCGGTTTACAGCCACGCGGTTTACAGCCGCGAGGGGGTGGGACAGGGCCAGAGTTCATGCTTGCAGGATTGCTGCCAGCAGAGACTCGCATTGCTTTCTATGTGAAAGGAGGCCAGTGCCACTCTTAAAGTTTTAAGCGGCCACAAGTCTACGGCTTACCATGTTTGCCAGCTAGACAAAGTCCGGTGTCCAGCCCTGCTCCTCAGCTCGCCACAGCAAGACCACAGGCACGGTAGGCGAGGGCCGAAAATTCGACCTTGTCCTCAGTGCGCGTGTGATAGGTGCTCTGCATGGTCTTGTTCACAGAGAAAGACTATGTTCTCTGTTCACAGATACATTGCTCTGTCTCAGGAATTCACTCCCTTTTTCCAATTCCCACAGCCACATCTGCCCAGAGGCTAGCGCACATTAGGAGGAGGAAGAAGAGGACACGGGAAGACATGTTTGCTGAACTAATGGGATGCTCCCGAGCACAGGCAGCCCAGCAGACACAGTGGAGGGAGAACTTGTCCCAAATGCACCGGGCAAACATTGAACGGGAGGAGAGGTGGCGACAGGAGGACAGGCAGGCTACTCAAACGCTGCTTGGACTAATGAGGGAGCAAACGGACACGCTCCGCCGCCTTGTGGATGTTCTGCAGGACCGGAGGCAGGAGGAGAGAGCCCCGCTGCAGTCTCTCTGTAACTGCCCTGCCCCGCCACCAAGTCCCATACCCCCCTCACCCAAAGTCCAAACACGGAGGGGTGGAAGGGGCCGTGAAAAATTTCACTCCACCCCTGCGGACTGCTCTACCACTAGAAGGCTCTCATTCCCCAAAATTTGAAAAGTCCTTTCCTACCCGCCTCACACAAGACCCCGTCCAAGTTTCACGCCCCCGTTCCATGTGCGGTTGTTAATAAAGAATACGTTTCTGTTCATTTCTGTTTCCATCCTCTTCTTTTGGAGGGGAGTCTGTCTGAAGGGGGGGGAAGGGGCTTGGTCATTGGACAGGACAGTCACCTTTAGCAGGGGGCAGGTGCAGCAGCAGGGCACATATACAGTGCAGTGACTAGTTATCCTGGTCAGTCTGGGAGGTGGTTTTCATGTTTTGTGTGGTGGGGGGGTGGTGTTGCTCTGTGACTTGGTGGCGGGGGAGGGCAGTTACAGATCTTATGCAGCGGTCCTTACCCTGCATCACAGAGCCGCGCAGCAGGGGATCTGTAACCCTCCTCCCCCTGCAAGACAGTCACATAGCCGACACATACACGCAGTCCCGGCCAGGAGGGCTTGCAGGCTCCGTTGAAACAACCAGTCCACCACCGCGGAGCCTGTCATTCCTGGAGTTTAGAAGCATCATTTGCATCACAACCCTAAACCCGCCCCCCGCCACAGTCTGCGTCCCAGGTTTAAAACATTCCCGCGAAAACAGTAATAAAGACAACGGTGTCCATTAACAAAACAGAACAGATTTTATTTTTTGGGAAGGGGGTGAAGGGGGTATGTAATTGGAGAGGATAGTCGACGGCAACTGGGTAAAGAAACGGGGGCAAGTTCTGCTTCTGTGTCCACAAACTTAAAAGTCACTGGGTACCCTGCTCAGCCTTGAAACTGGCTTTCAAAGCCTCCCGGATGCACAGCGCGTCCCGCTGGGCTCTTCTAATCGCCCGGCTGTCTGGCTGGGCGTAATCAGCAGCCAGGCTATTTGCCTCAACCTCCCACCCCGCCATAAAGGTCTCCCCCTTGCTCTCACACAGATTGTGGAGCACACAGCAAGCTGCAATAACGATGGGGATATTGGTTTCGCTGAGATCACAGCGAGTGAGTAAGCTTCTCCATCTCCCCTTGAGACGGCCAAAAGCACACTCCACCACCATTCTGCACTTGCTCAGCCGGTAGTTGAACAGTTCTTTTTCTGTGTCCAGGGCGCCAGTATAGGGCTTCATGAGCCAGGGCATTAGCGGGTAGGCTGGGTCCCCGAGGATCACTGTAGGCATCTCCACATCCCCAACAGTTATCTTGTGGTCCAGGAAGTAAATACCTTCCTGCAGCCGTCTAAACAGACCAGAGTTCCTGAACACGCGAGCGTCATGAACCTTGCCCGGCCATCCGACGTAGATGTTTGTAAACCGTCCCCGATGGTCCACCAGTGCTTGCAGCACCATTGAAAAGTAGCCCTTTCTATTGATGTACTGGCTGGCCTGGTGGCCCAGTCCCAGGATAGGGATGTGAGTCCCATCTATAGCCCCACCGCAGTTTGGGAATCCCATCGCAGCGAAGCCATCTATGATGGCCTGCGCGTTTCCCAGGGTCACTACCTTTGACAGCAGTACCTTGACGATTGCCTTGGCTACTTGCATGACAACAACCCCCACGGTAGATTTGCCCACGCCAAAGTGGTTCGCGACTG